CCCATCCAACTATCGGCCTATTAGCCTTCTACCTCTTTTGGGGAAACTCCTAGAATCCCTAATCAATGCTGAATTGGTTCGTCATCTCTCATCACAGGACAAGAAATATGGCTTTCGTTTCTTCAGATCAACTGCTGATGTACTAACGATAATTGCGAAAAGAGTCATGCTCTAGATAAAAACGGTGAAGCCCGGGCTGTTGCATTGGATATCTCGAAAGCTTTTGACAAGATCTGGCATTCAGGTTTTCTCCACAAGCTGAAAAGTTACTGTGTCTCCGGGCACTTTTTTGACCTGATCCTGTCTTTCCTATCAAATCGTGAAATGAGAGTTATCTTGAACGGCCACTCATCTAGATCGTTTTGTACTAACGCGAGTTTCCTCCAGGGCTCCATCCTTGGTCCTACTCTATTTTTAATCTTCATTAATGACCTTCCTGATGACAGCAGCTCTCAACTTGGTATCTACACTGAGGACACAATTTACTCCTGCCTCGATAGTAAGGCTGATCAGCCAGACAAGGTCAAAATAGCAGACAATGTCCAAAACGACCTCAAGACTATCGTTAACTGAAGCAAAAGATGACTTGTCAATTTTAACGCCGCCAAAACTAAACTTCTCTTCATTAATCATTTGAGAGACTCCTCTCTACTTTCCATTAGTATGGCCGATACTATCCTCCAAGAAACTGATTCATTGTGCCTTCTCGGGCTAATGTTCTCAGCTGTCATGAGGTGTAAAGACTACATTGAATCCATCACTAGATCAGCTGCTAAGAAAGTCAGTTCACTGCGTTTTCTCCCTGGAATCTATCTGGCATGTTTATAAGTCTACCATTTGTTCATGCTTAGAATGTTGCTGCTATATATGGACTGGTAACCCCTGCTATTTTCCTGGAGCTCCTTGATAAGATCCAAAGAAGAATCAGCAATATTATTGGTCTTGATCTGGCAGCTCAGCTTGTCATTTGTCCACCACCATAAGGTTGCACTCTATGCCTTTTTTATAAATACTTTCATGGTAATTGTTCGGATGAACTCTTCACTATGGTACCTAGACTGTATGAATTTAAGTATAATACTAGACTGTCTGCAAGATCTCAATTTACAGTTGAGGTAGCTGGAACTTCTATGCTAAGTTTCTTTTCCCGCACTTTTTGCTTGTGGAACTCCCTCTCAGCTCCATGCTTTCCAATATGCAAAAATTTAAATGAAATGACAATTGCTATCTACTGTCCTCCTAATTGCTTTGTTCTCTTTCTCTTATTTACTAATGTCTGTTCCTAATTCCCCCACACCCTTGCATACTAGTTGCTTGGGGGCGATAATGATTTTTAAAAAAGTCAAATTTCATACTTTTGAAAAACTGAAATAGTACTATGTTGTAAATTTTGCTTATTTTCTTTTATCTTCTATCTTAGAATGAATAAACAAATTAAGTTAATTTTGACAATTACAAAAAAATACAGGTAACTGTAACAATAGTCAAAAGCAATATTTTAAAAATTTAGTTAAAACTAAATGTTGCTAATGCCATCTAACAACAAAAACACTAAGGCAACTGAATAGTAATTAAAAGTAATGTACATTTTAGAATCAGTGAATCTCAAAACTCAATCTCACCCAGGTAGATGTGGCAGGTTTGGTTACTGTTGAGCCTCATCTTTCTATGTGTATAAACAATAGTTGATATATAGAACTTCTAAACTTATAGCAAGATTGAATGAGCAAGGCAACAAGAACTTAAAGAAGTATTAGCAAACAGTAAATCTGACTGCTGGACACATCTTCCTTGTACACAACTGAAAAGACCAAAAATGGCATTGGATATATTTATCTATTGGCAGACAATTTGTTACTCTGGGAAAAACAACTTTTGCCTCCTTGTTGCATATCCCAACAGAATAATGGTTCTTACCTCAACACAAAATCAATTCATTTTTCCCCTTCTGGATATGGTATGGTGTTTGATTTTTTTAATCAACATTTTGCACGTTATTAAAGTCAGAAATTATTTTTAAGTTGTACAAATTATAATTTTGATTTACTGATACAAGTCTTACTAATTAACCCATAGCCTGGAGATGTGAAGTCATATCTTTTCCAAGGGTGTTTACATTAATATAATGAACCTGACTGGAAATGGAACTCAGCTTTCCAATTCCAAGCCATTATCCATTACACTATCCAAGCTTACAGTACCTGGTAGTTGCAAGCAGTCACACATCTAGCGACCGACCAGGCTTGATATTGCTAAACTTTGCTCATTGCATGAGAAGCAATGTGAAAATAGTATGTAAAAACTGCACAATATGGCTGATTAATTTTTTTTAAATCTATCAGATTGAGCTTTTGGAATATATGGAGGTGACTTGTACCTTTCATAACCAGTCACTGCTAGAGATGTTATAATACACAATGGATATTCTACTCTTAACTATTATTAAACTTTTAATTAAAAAAAAAAAAGAAAAAAAGATTAAGTTTTAAAATGAGTACTTTAAAATTATATCAATATTAAATAAACTTATTAACCAACAAGCTATAAATCCTATTATTAAAAAAAAGCATCAGTTAAAATACTGCTACTTAGATATGAGGTACAATGTTTTGTGGTTTAAAATTTTCTTGAGTAGATTGTGTTAATGAACTGAAATTCAGTCTCAATTCAGATCAGTTTTTTATTGACTTAATTCTTAACTATTTTACTCTTATACAATTGTAACAGGAAAAAAAAAATGTTAGAAATGTCTTATAAGAAAACAAGACTAAATTTTCATACATAAAATAATTCATTATTCATTTCTAGATTCTGTCAAATTGACATTAGCCAATTTCGGGTCTTTCTTCCAATATTCGATCTTTTTGTGAGGATGTAAGGGATTCTGTTGTCACACTTACAGATCATGTTTTTTATATAACTTCCTGTTACCCAGTTGTTTTGTGTGTATATACTGGGTATATGTCCTGTTTGGGTTAGTGCACCTGCCAACATTCCTTTGAGGGTCTGATTCTGCACTTGGTGGATTTGATGTTGCCTTCTGGGTTAACTCTGAAGGCATCTTGGTCATTTGATGTTCTGAGTACAAAACTTACCTTGGTATCTCTCAGAGTGAACCGAGTATATATTGGGGTCGCCACAAATCATTTCTTCTTAGATCAAAGGTTCAGATCTCTGGTATTTTCTGACATGAATCACATAATACACAGAAAATTTCCAAGAAGTAGTGAAAGTAAACATGATCCTTCAGGACATAAAATTGCAAAAATACATTTAATCATCAATAACCCATGACAGTTTGCAAATATTTAGTGGTGACTGAATTAATTGCCTTTGAAGTATAACAAGGTTTCATAAAGAATCTTGGTAAGAAAAAAAAGAAAAAAGAATCCTTGTAAAATTTAAGTTTTCCTTCTAAGTTATTGACCTGTAATAAGATTCCATAGAACACACACAGAAAAAAAAAAAAAAAACCTACCTTATCAAGTCATTATGGCTGTTGAAGCAGCTCTTATATTTTAGAAATGCGATTTGAATTAAAGCAATTTAGAATGAATATAAATTAACAATGGAAGAATGCTTAGCTCATAAAATTTGGTAAGATCAAACTGCTTTATTAGTACTTATGATACTTACTAAAAGACTAAAAGAAAGTAGATGTGGATTTATCTTTGCACTTATGATAAAATATCATTGTCTTTAAGGCAGTAGAGAATAAGATAAACCCTGTAGCAGGAGTTTGGGTCAAATAAGATTATGGTATGAAAAAAAAAAAAAAAAAAAAAAAAAACCTATGCAGGCAAACAAAATATATATATTATATATATATATATATATATATATATATATATATATATATATATATATATATATATATAAAAGAAGAAGAATGAAAAAACACAACACTCTTGACACAATATTGAGTGAATTAAATTTCTTTATTTCTTTACATGAGCTGCAAAATTATGTATCCTGAAGCGGTGACAATGGCAGCAATAACAGCAGCAGCGGCACAGACAAACGAAAAAAAATAAAAAATAAAAAAAAATACCCCCCCCAAAAAACAAAGAAAAACCCTTGCTCAAGTGATGTTGCTGCTGATACTGCTCTTCAGTTCTGCTTGACAATGATTGGCTCAGTTGTACCACATGCTGCTGCTTTTTCAGCAAATGGAAACAAAACGATACATACTTCAACATCCATGTGACAAGATGGAAGTGTATGGCGATAACAGTTATGGAATCTCACTGTGCGGAAAGATGTGTTGTGTGCTCCTCAAAATGATTTCGAGAAGAATTCTAAGAGTCAAGAGAACTGTGGTAACAACCAAGTAAGAAGGGAAGGAGAAAACTTTTCACAGCACTAAATTTTAGTTGTCATTTTTTTCATATTTTTTTTTTTTTTTTACCTTTTCAAAAAATAGATTTTTTTTTTCTCTTATAAACAGAAAAAAGGGCAAACTTAAAAAAGATAACCAATTGATTTCTTCAATGTAAATGTGGTTTCCTTTTTTTTTTTTTTTTAGATTTGTATACAATCCACTAAAATTCTAAAGGGATGAGGAAAGATCAGATATTGTGGAAAAGTTAATTTTCATGATACTCTCAGTGTAATGTGAAGTTTATGATAGATTTTTAGTGGGAAATCTCTGGTCTTTGTGAGCGCATTTATGATATATCATTTTGATAAAATAAAGTAGAGATTTGCTGATTGAAACTTTATCGTAAATCTTACATTAAGATGAGAGTACAGTTAGAGATAAAATTATCTTTTGCACAATACAATCCACTAGTCTAAAATAATCAGAAGATTGCAATTAATGCAGGAAGAGTGTTCTCAACACAGCACAATTTGTCCAGAAACTAAAGCTTGAATCAGAAAATGGTATGCTGGGATGGGGAGGGTGAAGTAAATTTTTTTTTTTTTTTTTTTTTTTTGTCGTTGAAATATCACATTTGTGCTAGTCCCTCTCTGGTTAGAGGTGGACACAATTTTAGGGTTCAGCACGAGTCTTCAGAATCACTGTCAGATGAGGAAACCTCATTTAATTCCTGTGCGTTCGGCTGATAAACTGGAATATGCTTTGGACTCCAAGTTTTGGGAAGAGGACGAACCAGACTATTTCTTTGCTGCTGCTTTGCCTGAAAAAAAAATTAAAAAGTTTTAAAATTCAGCATTTTTTTTAGTTAATTTTAAGTATCAAAAAAAGATACAGAACTAAGCTTGGAGTTAAATCTTCAAATAATCATAATTTTGATTAAAAGAATATATTCTTAAGTGTATTATTCTCTATAACTGTGACAACATTCTTTATTATATAGTAACAGCTAGACACTTACAAAACAATCATGCAAAAGAACAAAAAGGTTACTTGGAGTTATGTGATAAAAAAAAACAGAGAGAGAATATTTAATAAAACAACTTAAATGGTTTATACTTTCCATTGATTAGAAAAAAAAATAAAATAAAAACAAAAAACTATTACTGCAACACTGGCATTAAATTAGATTGGTCTTAACAATCAAATGAGGCAAATTAATATTTCTGATTTCATTTTATAATTTAGTATTTAGATTTTAGCCTTGAGGTGATATATTTTTTTTTATATCTGAGTGGGGCTGCCTCAATAATTTCACTAACTGCAGAGAAGGCAAAGGGAAACCACTCCACTATCATTTCCAAGAATCATTTCCAAGAATAATATATATATATATATATATATATATATATATATATATATATATATATATATATATATACACACACACACAATTTAATTAAAAACAACAGACAAGGTTCTGCAATTAAGTTTCTTATTTAATTTTTTTTTGTGTTCTTATAATTTTCTTTTCTGGATGTAAATTATGCAGAAATTGTCCAAATGTTTTGTATGTTTGAGCGCTTTCGGCTATACTTTTAGCCATTATCAAAGATGATATTTTTAGGGTTAACTGAATGTATGGATTGTTTTATGTATCTAGAGGAAAGTTTTATTTTACAAACACGGTTAGTACATTATTTATATAACACACACACAAATCTCTTTTCAGTTCATCATCTGGTAGCAAATTATCATGTGTGCAACTCCATGTTCAGAGGCCATATGAAGAGAGATGGTCTTTATCAAATCTACTTTGCCCATGCTCGATTGAATACCTCTCTGACTTTCATACTGAATTGGTCATTGCTTAAAATAAAAAGGGCAGCACCTGCTACTGTTCATCATGACCAAGGTGTCAAATATATGACTGCAGGCAAAAACAAGATCAGAGGAAGGGACAACATCATTGCAACATGGAATGTGTGGACACTGGCATGAAAAGAAAGACACTAACATATAAATTGAAGTGATACACCTTGTATGTTGTAAGACTATGGGGGGGAAGGACAAGTTGGAGAGGCATCAGTGAACATCAGACTAAAGAAGGCCATATTCTCTATTACAGTGGCAAAAAAAAAAAAAAAAATCTACTGTTATATGCATGGAGTGGAATTCCCCATCAAAAAATCCGTGCTTAAGTTCTGTAGATGTATGGTGATAAATCTGCTGGTTATAGGAAGCAGTAGATTTATCACCATATGTCTAAAAGAATCACCCTTTAATGTCACTATCACCCAAGTCTATTGACCAACTCATGGCCATGATAGTGAGGAAATTGAGAAGTTTTATACATAATTTCATGACGTTATCAACCAAACAAGAAAAACATAAATTTTCAAAGGGACTGGAATACCAAAGTTGGCCAAGAGTCATGGAAAAACTGGAGAGAACATTTTGGCCCATCTTGTAATGATGTCACCAATGAGAGCCAGACATCTGCTAGAATTTGCCAGCTATAAAAGCCATAAGGTATCCCAATGTTGAACTCGGCATGCACCAAGTGGAATCTACATTCTAGTTCAGAATCAGGCATTAATAAAGCAAAAACAAGGGCATTCCCTGGTGTCAACATAAAAAGTAACCATAATCTTGTGATCACAAACTTTTGAGTAAGTGTCAAATTCAATATTGACCATTTGAAAGATCCAGACATCTGAAAGGCCTTTCAAGCAAACATCAGCAGAAAATTTGCCCTGCTACTCATGCTGGAGGAAGACAATGAAATACAAACCAACTTCAACTCTGTCATGACTGAAGTGGCCAAAGACATCATTGGTATGCAATGTTCAAAGAAGAAATCATGAATCACTGAAGAAACATTGGAGTCTGTGATGAAGAGTATTAGACACACTACAGGGGCAGGAGAAAATAAGTATAAGAATAAAGAAAGCAAAAGAAGATGGGATCAGAAAAAAAATGTTCAGAGATTAAGAAAATCTAAAGAATAGCAAGAATGCATTCTAGATTGTTTCTATTTACTGAAACCTTTCACAATCTAGAAATAATACCATCCCAGACAAAAAGGGTAACTGCCTTAGAGAATCTGACAATATCATGGAGAGATAGGCAGAATTCTGGGTGAGTTGTATAACCACTCCATCATAGAAAATCTTAATGTCCGAGTAGACAGAGAATCCTCAAGTTATTATCACTTCCCCGTACTTAGAGAAGTGAAAGCAGCAGTAAAATCCCTGAAGAAGAGTAAAGCAGCTGGAATTGAGATCATCCCAGATGAACTCATCATATATAATGGTAAATCAGTGATAGATATGCTAACAATAATCTGTATTAAGATCTGGCAATCAGGCAAGTGGTCAACAACATGGACCCTGTCATTGAGTATCACAGTATGAAAGTGGTTCCATACACCAGTCAGTGTATGCCAAGGTTGTCTTCTATCCCCTATGTTGTTCAAAATCTTCCTTCAATGTACCATGAGTGATGTCCTAGAAGAGCACTAGAGCACAGTCAGTATTGAAGGTCACAAAATCATGTAGAAGCATGAGGTGGCAATGAAGAACTTGTCAGTCTGATGAAGAGACTAGATGAAACATCCTCCAGAAATTAATGCAGATAAAAAAAAAAAAAAAATTAAGACAAACAAAGAGGGGTCCAGAACAGAAATAATTTCAAGAACAACACAAACAATAGCAGTTGTTGCAAAAAAAACTAAGAAACATCTGGAAAGACAAGAACATCTGCCTAAAATCAAAGATCAGACTGTTGTGTGTCTACAAATCATGGACATTAACAACACAATTATGGTGAGAAATCCAAGCATTAGAAATGAGATGCTACAGAATCATCCGAGTCATCTACTACATAGACCACATTACAAATACAAAACATTGGACATGAAAAGGACCTGTTGGAAGGCCTTGCATCCACAGTCAAGAGAAACTTAGAATGGTATGGACAAACAAAAACTTTCTTTTTTTTCTTTCTTTTTACTGCCACTCTACAAGGTATCACCTTAGGCAAAAGAAGAGGCAGAAAGGAAAAAAAAATGGCTGATAACATCACTGAATGGACGAGAAGATCATTCAAAAAGACTCAGACATTAGTACACAGCTGAGACATATGCAGGGAGCTAGTCAGGTGGTTTATGACCAAACCTAATTATGGGACTGATGATGATGATGATGAATATGTTTAACCCTCAGCCTAAGTATTTCATTTTCATATATTTAGTAAATATGATTTTATAGTTTTCTGCTGAAACTTAGATCTTTTGAAACTTTTATAATGAATGCATTCCTACATAAGTATGAAGGTCTGCAGTATGTCTGATATTCCAATACAAGGGAAGAGTGAAGGAAATTTATACATATGACAGACTTTTTATGCTGTTAATATCAATACAGAATCTTGTAAAAATTAGTATTAAAGTTCTCAAATATTTCATAAGAAAGTCAACAGAGATCTGTAAATAGGAAAACTAATATTTCCTCCATTTTAATAAAGAATTTAAACCTTTTATGAGCATAATTCCCTTTTACCTTAAACTATTTTTATTACAGAAGTTACTATTTCATATTAACTACAAATTACTACTAAAACAGAATTTTTAAACTTGATAGTTTAGAGCAGACATGATGTAATGGTTAGTGAGCTAATCTAGCAAATTGTTGCTGTGTAGTGAGTCTGATCCTCACTGATTTCCTCATACTTGTGGCCTTAAGCCAGTCAAAACTTAGTAAACAGCTTTTCCAAGTAGGATAGACATTAAGGAATGCTTTCAACCATACTTGATTTGTTAGTTTTTGAAATTCCTTTTTATCATCTTCAGTAATGACATATTCATCCTCCTCTGTTTCATTCCATCCCATCTGTCGTAAGAGTCTCTGTTCTGCCTCTAATGAGCTTGACAAGAATGATCTGCCATTGTCTTTCACTGACAACAGATCAACACCATTCACCAATTCTTCAGGAGAATTACATCCAAAGCTCTGTATCAAAACAGAAAACAGCATTTGCATTTAATTAGAAAAAGTTTAAACATTTCTATCTTTATGATAAAAAGAGAGTTTTATGAGAACAGAAAAAAAGAATATACATGTACAAGTTTTAACCTTGTTACAAAGTTTGCAGAAGAAAAGGGTTCATTTCCCTCCTAAATGGCAAATATATTTGATCAGTAAATTGATTATAAAAGTATTTGCAGAAAATTTATATCTATATTTGTTTTTCCAATGTTAGTATAAATGCAAACACCACAAATTATATATTAGGTTTAAAATCAAAGTATTTAGTACATTCCTGGTAACTGTGTAACATAGTATTTACTTCAGATAATATATCTTTAACCAAAAGGGATAAAAAAATGTATTTTTAACATTAAAAAAAAAACATTAAAAGAAAATGTTCATAAATAAAAAAAAAAGAATGCTTTCAGTTAAATAGAAAGAAATATACCATACATAGAACATAAAATGAAATAATGGGCCAAGCACAACAAAATGTAGGTGTCTCAATATAGTGCAATGGTTAGTGAGGATTGTCTTGTTGACCATTATTACTGTGTAGTTAATTTGATTCTCACTGGGTGCCCTGTATAAAATTAGACATTTAAATAACTCAACAGGGGTTGATATATTGCAGAAGCAACCAACAAAAGCTAATCCAACAAAATGCAGAGAAAAAAAACAAAAAGAATCTTTATTTTGAATAAATAAAAACAGTATATATTTGAAAAAACAAAGTTGAAAATAATGGCAAAATTATAATGACATTGAAAGAAAAGATGGAAGAAATAAATATTCACTTGATTTCCTTGTTTTCCAGACAACCTCTGACTGTCATTGTCTTCTAGACTGAGATCTGTAGCATCTTTTAACATTTCCCTATCAGTTGAAGTATCTTGTTGACTGGCCACTTTAGGGTTATTACGATTATCATTGGGACAAGGTGAAGATGAAGACTAAAAAAAAAAAAAAAAAAAAGCATATTCAAGTAAAAATTATTTGCAAATCTAAAAACTACAAGACAGCAAAAAAAAGAAAAAGGAAGCATTTTGATAAACTTACAAGAAAACAAAATCAGTAAAGATTATTGTACAATTATCCCCAAACAATAGCAGCAAAAATGGTTCCAGAAACCCCTCACATCTGGACAGAAAATCTGTGGATGTTCAAATCCTTTATACAAAATAGTGTAGCATTTGCATATAACTTACATACATGTACTTTAAATAATATCTGGATTATTTATAATACCTAATACAATGTAAATGCTATATACTTTGTTGTTATATGTACTAGAGGGACAAATAATTCAGTAAGAAATTGACACCCTCCAAAAAAAAAAAAAAAATTATATAAAAGTTAATTTTATTGGAAAAACTTTGCACAATTAACAAGAAATATTGGAGAAAATTTTTACATAAATATTATTTGTGTACATTCTAAAGAAAAGAGATATTTGTGAAACATGATAGTGTGAAATGTTTACTTTTAAACAAAATTGCATTAGAATTTGTATTAGAAACTTTTTAGGTAAAAATCACTTTAGTTTTAAATAATCTACCTAAAATTAACTAATTATTGCATTTCATTAAAATTTTTAGTATTTAATAATGGATGAACATTTTTTAAAAAAAGAAATTTCCTTTTTCAATTCAAAAAGGTGTACCAAAAGTATTGAATGAACAAAACAAGACAAGCAATGCTCAAAGAGTGTTGGGGAAAGAACCTGTGAAATAGCAGATTGCAGCAGGCAAGCTTACACAATATTTTGATTGTATAGCTTCAGTGTAGTGCTGGACACATGGCAAATTCAAATTTTGCTTGCTGGAAATTTTGTTTTTTTAAAAATATTTCTGATTTACATTTCAATGAAGGGCTATAATGTTGTTTATTATTCATGTGCACATTTCAACAAAAAAGATTAATAACATTAGTGAAGTTTCTATTGTTGACCATTTATCTGATAAACATTTTTATTTGAATCTTAACATGAGTCAAGTAATAAATTTAAGAACAACACATGATAAATTCTGCCAATAAAAGGCTTATCATTGGAAAAACTTATAGAATATTTTAATGTTATCATTGCTTTTGTTTTCGAGAGAGTAAAATCTATTTCTTCATATAATAATAAAATAGGTGTAGTCTAAAGCTATCCTTATTAAGAGATTGCAATTAACAAATTTCTGTTAAATTTAATGCTTTTGTCTGACACTGAAGATGAAACATGTTCTCTAGAAAAATTTATTCAATTTGTTAAATTAGCTCATTATCACACATTTTCCATCCCCAGAAGATTTCTACTTAAAATCTTATTAAAGATTGACAATCAGCCTGTAACCATATACAAGTGTGAAGAGATAAGATGAAAATATAGAATAAAATGAAAAAAAGCAGGAGGTAAATACTTCAAAACTTAAATATGAATACTGTTGAATTTCTTTCAAAAGAAATCAAGGTCAATAATAATCATGTTGCACATTCATTATAAAGCAAAGACTGTCTTAAGGATTTAAAAATTTTTTAAATGACTTTATTGACAAAAATAAGTTATTAAATTAACAATGTCATACAAAATGAGAACTTCCCCATTTGATTCAGAAGAGTTGAAAGAATAGGAAAATAAAACAAACGAAAATTAGATTTGTTTTTGAGTATCACAAGGCTTACCTAGAATTATAATAAAAATATAAACCTTTTTCTCCAAAGTGCTGAATTGGTGAAGGTCATTACAATACACTCCTGCCAGAGAGAAAATGGATTTAAAATGAGAGCAGATGACCTTTTCTTATGCTTATATGAGAGAGAAAGTTTCCCAAACAGTTATATTTTTGTAAAAATATACTTGAATTATTATTTATCATAATTACCTTTTGTAAAAGTTGTTTTTTTTCTCTGAAGAAGAAAAGTATTACAAAACTAAAAAACTTTTTACTAACCTTGGTTGGAGTCATAAATTTATAGATGCCATTTCCGGTGCGAGATCGATCATTGTCTCTTGGTCCTTGATAATCTCCAAAATTTATTTCATTTTTAGAGAAATAGTTCCCAGACTTTGATGCTAATGGGTTATCTTAAAACGACAAGAAAAATAAAAACAATAACAAGAATAAAGTAAATATAATATGTCCACACAATAAGTAACAAATTAAAAAAAATGATTAAATTTCATTTCATTCAAAACAGAGTAAATAACGAAAGAAAGAGTTTACAAAGAAAAACAATTTTTTGATTATTTTTTTACAAGATGGGTAATTCAGTAAAATTATGATAGAAAAGTAGAACTAGGGAAACTTATAAATTTAGATTTTAGCCTATAGGTTAAAACCAGGATTGATTTAAAAATAATAGTTATTTTATATTCAATATTCTCATTAATTCTAATTTAACTATGCTGTTAAAAATGATGGCATATATGAAATTTATATTTTGCTATGTCCTTACTATTAACAGATTTTCACATTGTATCTTTCTTTGCACAGATTTCCTAATTATTATTGTATTCTTTATTTCATGAAGTCAGCTTTAGGAATGTCTTAAAAGTCTGCCTTTGTCATAAAGACACTACCACCTGGCATTGCCAGTGCAATGGAGATACTTCTAATACAGCAAATTACATTACAGATAAAAAATATACACTTAGAATATTATATATAAATAATGCTAAATCTTATAAGAAAAAAAATTCAGAAGTGTGGATACAATCTCTGTGAAAGACAAATGAACATTTTATTTTATTTCTTATTATCAATATTCCATCTTTTGATTTTGAGCACTATTTACAAAGGGTGTTTACCTTTTTTAAATCCTTCCACAGATCATGGCTCTCTACAACTTTCTATCCCTTTGCCAAACTTTCCACATCCCTATTCCACCATCCATTCACTCAAGCTCACCAGGTATGTAGTCCACTGCCTTCCTGTACTCCTTGTCCTCAATATACCCAGTGAGTGTCAAATTTTCCATGCCCTCCTTCCTCATTATGTGTCCAAGAAATTTCAACTATTGCTTTCTGATTGAGTATACCTTTTTTGTTTCCATTTTCCTGAAGACTTTATTACTTACATGTTCCATCCTTGGAATTTTCAACATCCTTCTGTAGAACCACATTTCTGTTGCCTCCAGTTTTCTCTTCATCTGTGAGGCAATTTTCCAGTACCCACTGCCATACAAGAGGATTGATATTACACAATAGTTCAGCACTCTTTTCTGTTTCTAACAAATTTTTCCTGTTTTTTTAGTACTTTGATTAGTTTTTGGAATGCATCTTTTGCTAATACAATGTGTGTTCAAATTTTGGTGTAACATTTTCCATTCTTTATTAAATCACTTCCTAGATATTTAAACTTCTGTACTTGTCTGATACTAGCATCTCCAATTCATAGTTTGCATCTTGCTGACAACCATGTTTTCTGTTTGACATTCCTTTCTTCGCACTTTACTTCACTATTCTGTCTAGGTGTTTCTTTCTGCGTCTGCCATCAACACAGTGTCATCTGCATTTCTTATATTGTTAAGATTACGTCCACTGAAAACATATCCTGTTGATATTGTCATTGTAAAGGCTGAATAAATCCAGTGAGAAGACACACCCTTGTCTTATGTCCCTTTCTATCTTTGTGTACCTACTCAATTCATTTTTGATCCAGATACAGATGGCTTGCTCCCAGTATAAGTTCTGGATTATTCTAACATATTTCCTAAAGAGACCCAGTTTTCCTAAAAGTTCAAATAGATCTTTGTTTTATGCTTTTGTGTAATCTATAAAACATAAGTATCCATCCTTCTGCATTTGTATTGTTCTCTCTCTGATATCATTCTGATCATAAATATAACATTTCCTGTTCCAGTGTCCTTGATAAAGTCATATTGTTCTTGTTCTATTTCCAGTTTAATTCCGCTTTGCACTTTATCCATCAGAATTTGAATTATTAGCTTGGTTATATGGCTCATTAAGCTGATTGTCCAATGGAGCTTGCATTTATTTGCAACTTGTTTATTAGGTAGTGATACAAAGATGGCTTTACCAAGGCTTTCCAATATGTTGCCACTGTTGTATATTTCATTTATTACTTCTGTGATCTTGTCAATGCCAAAATTGTTTAAGGCTGAGAGCATATCTATTACGTTCACATCTGGTCTTGCTGCTCTGTTCCTGTTCATCATGTATGTCCTGGGTAAGAAGATAAACTATGTCTAGCAGCAAGGCCGCTGATTAGGAGGTTTTGAGGAGCATGGAACCACCTCTTAATTGCTGTGTTCCCAGGTCCACCCTGACCTGGGGTGGTAGCACCTGTTAGGCACCCCAGCTATGAGCAAATAGTTGACTCCACAACCTGGCTCAAAGCATTATGAAAGTGTAAAAATAGATTTTAATACCAGAAATACTTTTAAAAAAATTAGTATCAGCAATAAATATTTGAAAGAAGAAAATATTACCAGAAATAAAAATCTTGTCAGCATTAAATAACCCACTGAGGTTAATATGCCACAAAACAAAACAAACTGTACATTTTTGAAAAAAAATTTTTACCAGCTATACATTTTTGAAAAAAAAAAAAAAAAAAAAAAGAGGAAATTTTGTCGGCATTAAATAACCCATTGTGGTTGATATGCCGTAAATGAAACAAACCAAACCACTGTTCATCATGTCCAGTGCCAATCTTACTTCAGACTTCTGATACCTTCCAGAAATACCTGGTTGATTGGTTTCTTTGGTGAAACCATCTTTATCATAGTATATATAAGAATTGGGAACAAATACAGATCAAATATGCATTGAAATCTGACAATGATAGGATAAAGAACAAATAGGAAACATCTATAAATCTAACATATTTTGATTTTATTAAAGCTTCTAAAGAATGAGACGTCAAAAATTTGGGGTATTTTTATTTTTACGTTGTTTGATTTTTATTGGCTAAGCAAACTTAATGTTCATTTGATTAGTCAAGCAGACTTCACATGTAAATGTATCATAATTCTAGTTTGTCCATGTGAGATCTGGAGGATAGTGTGTATGAATATAGTAGGCACATTTATGTTTTGAGGTTGCCCGCATATTGATTTGGGGATATTTTATGTCAACGCCAATTGTGGTAGTTAAATATATGTTATATTCTTTAAGAATGGATTTAATAAAGGCTGATGATGAAATAGTGTTTTTGATGGATGTTTATAGTTGGTAAAACTTTATCCACACTACCTCAAAATATTTTCAACAAAGAATTATGTTTTGTTTTTTTTAATTAGGATGGCATCCAAACATAAATAATACCTATAAGACATACATACACATATATACATTATCATCTGAATCCCACATAGACAAACTAGGATTATGATACACTTACACATGAACACTGCTTGACTAGTCAAATGACTATGAAGTCTGCTTAAAAAAAAATGAAACACAAAAATAAAAATACTAGAAAATTTTTTTCCATATCTCATTCTCTGTTGAAGCTTTAATAAAAGCAAAATATATTAGATCTATAAATATTTCCTATCATTATATATATATATATATATATATATATATATATATATATATAGTGATGATGTTCAATAAATCAATAAATGTTTGATAGAGTTGTCTCATTTGACCTACTTCAGAGTTTTGCATAATACTATTCATTATAGTCAGATGGCTTAATAAATTGATTTATTGGTCCATTTGACCCTGGTGAGCAGTATTATGCAAAACCCTACAAGCAGTCACTGAGAAGTCCATTGAACATTTACTGAATTATTGGATATTATCACTCTAGTTATTTAATGAGTGCTTTTTGCCAAAAATTCTGCTCTAATTCTAAAGACATTGAATTCTAGTAATTTTTACTAATTTTGATTGGTGTCTTGGAGTTGTATTATTGATATGACAGGAATAAACACTGCATGATGACTCTCACTGCAATTTTCAGACAGAGAGATAGAAATCTAATAAATTCCTGGCAAATGTAGCTTGTGTAGAGATCTCAATAATTTTAATCAAAGTAATGTCTGAGATTATTATTGAAAACATTTAAATAAAACTCACCCCATACACTGTTACCATTGGTTGATAGGTAGTTGCTTTGATTATAAACTTCATCTCTACCATTTAACAGTGGCTGGAGAGGAAAAAAAAAGAGGAGAATTTTCTGATAATATTAAAAAAGAAATTATTAAATTAGAAATTATCTTCAATTTTTCATTTATCACAGTTCTTATAAATAACTGGACATTTCAAAAACATATTACAGAAATTATTTTATCCTACAATCATAAATCAATTTGGAAATAAAATAATTTGGTATTCTCTTTACACATTTAGAGAAAAAAAATATTGAAACAATGCAATTTTGGAATGCTGTCATGTAATTTTGTCCAATTAAAGATTAATTACTGCAATAAAAAGACAACAAAAAGAGTTACTTACAAATTCATCATTGAATAAATTTCTATCTTTGCTTGTGTCTTTGTTCGACCTGTCAACATAGTCTCTGTCTTTGCTGCCTATTCCTTCATTTTTGGGATTGCCAAGTCGATTTTCACGTTCATATAAATTCTTTCTACCATTTCCTGGTCGACCTAGATATGGATTGTAATAAGGATCTCCATGGTGGTAGTCTTGTTGGTAGACATCATAATAATTAGTGTAGCCAGCAACCTAATACATAAATAGAACAACATAATTTAAAAAATTGTGATAATTTAAATGAATTTCCAGATTTGTCTGGTCAAATATGATATAATTATTTTATTGTATTCTGTTTCCACAGAATCAACCAAAACCTTATATTTCTAAGTAAATATTTCTATTGGAATATATTTAGTAGAGTGGAGTTAACTTGTGTAGATAACTCAAAAATTGAATTTAAACATAGAGAGAGATCATAAAATTGTTGGAATTTAAAAATAAACTCTGAAAACAGTTATTAAAATAAAGAAAAAATATATACATAATATTTCTCAATGGTAGCACGACTTGGAGTTTCATGGTACTGAAGATTGCATTGTACATGAAACAATGTGCTATTGATGAGAAATAATATGTATATTTAATAATATATACTTAATAGCTCTGTTATATTACATCGAGCACTATTTTATTAACACCAGCACTCAATATATATATATATATATATATATAATGGTATACAAGAGAAAATTTCTAAAATATCAAACAAATTACCCATAATTTAAGCAGTAATACTTTTCCTATCCATAAACATTTTAGAATTTTGTAAGGTTAAAGTGATGTATGTATATGTAACTGAACATGAGTCTCTGCAACACTGTGTGTGTGTGTGTGTGTGTGCGTGTGTATACTAATTATCCTGAGGCATTATTTGTTTTGCATTATTTCTCTCCTATTTAACAGTGAAATAAATAGTTAATGATAATTACAAAGAAAGAAACTAACAGCATTTGTAAAATTATTATTATTTTGATACTAGATTTATCAAGTCAGAGTTAATAAAGATGCATTACAGGCAAAATAAAGACTTGTTTTTTGACTGTATATCTCAAATGAATTTCTGTGTAAAAATAAATGCTTTAAAAGGGAAATGTCTAAAATCTCCAAATATCTGTACATAATTGTTTATAAGAAACAAAAATCTTATAGGAAAATAGAAAATAATCTAGGTTTTAATGACCAGTGCAATTTATGTAATTGTCAGGATTCCTTAAATTGAGGAATGGAGAATAAGCATTATTGGAATATTTACAAGCTAAAAAAAAAAAAAAAAAAAATATTATTATAAAAATCAAAACCTGTTCTAATTTGATGAGACTTATTATGAATTATCAGAAAAAATGTACAATCAGAATCATATCAAGCTTTTCGAATGTAAACTGATATTTGATGAAATTTTAATTTATAGGACATTTTTTTGAAAATAATATTTATATATTTGGATTGAATTTATAGATATAAATATTTAAGTAAATGCTCTGTTTATAATAAATAGTTTAACATTTATTTCAAGAAATTTTCACAGAAAATATTTCTCTCTCATTCAGGCCAGTAAATGTTGTTATTTATTATAATATTTCTTATTATATAGATATAGTATATGCTTTTGAGCTAAATGTCTCTCGTTTATAAGAATAAATAGTTTAAACAACTTGGTCGGGTTTAGATGGCCTGAATGTCCAAGAAATTTTCACATTCCTTGCAGAGAGAACCCAGAAAAATATTTGTCCTCGTGGCTAGGAATTTGCCTGGACATTCAGGCCAGTAAATGTTGTTCGGGTTTAGATGGGTTTATTTTTTGGCTGGCCCACGGGCTCGGACATTTAAGGCCTTGTGCCACATTTATTGATAAATACCATCTATAAACCCGCTCGGCCCGGTGGCTAGGATCATGTAGTATCAGAGCATTTACATAAATATTTTTTGGGTATCAGACATATAAAAAAGGCCTTGTGCCACATTCAATGAATTGATAAAAACTATAAAAAGAATGTATAAACAAAAATGTCTTAAAATAATTGTCGGACTTTGTCCATTTCATATATATATATACATATATATATATATATATATATATATATATATATATATATATATGAACAAGTAGGAAATGGATGTTAATCTAACATTACACATATCTGACCAATAAGAAATAACCAAACACAACATACCATAAATCTGGGTCTCTTTGGCTTTTATCGTTTTTTATCTTGATCTCTGACAAAGCTTTAATAAAGTGAAACATGTTAGATTAACATCTGTTTTCCTACTTGATCTTTATCCTATCATTTTGTCAGATTCATATATATTAGAGAGAGAGAGAGAGAGATATGTAGAATGTTTTATTATCCACATATATACAACACAATGCATATATATTGTGTAAGTTTCCAGAGTGCACAGTTTCTACCCTTTGAACCTAAGAGGATTAAGGTGCAACACTGATTCTAGGCAGGGTGTATCTATAGCTGATCCATGGCAAAAGTACTGATCCATATGTAAATAATTAAATCATTTTTATGGGTATGATTGTTAGTATTGAAAATATAATGAAAAGAATAAAATAATTTCTAAATCTATAGGTGTAAAATCCCTTATAAATCAATACTGACAGTATATAATATTTAAAAAAAGAAAAAAAAAAGAAAAAAATCACCAAAATCCCATATAAAAAATGTCCTACAAGTATAGACAATTTTCCATACAACACAAAGAGAAAAAAAAAACATTAATACAATAAGTACAATTTTTAAATTTTGCTGCCAAATTTTATCCTGAATTTGGTTACTCTCATGTTGAAAGAATCCTCTTTTGGATCAAAACTGAAATTATTTTCAAAGCATATCATTTGTATTTGTACTTTATAGCAAGAAACTAACTGTACTCTAAATGCTATCTTTATTCTATCAATAATAGTTTGGCAAGAAATTTAGTGTTTTACTGAAATAATACTTCAGTGAATGACTTATTACCTAAACAAAAGTCATTTTATAAAAAAACAAAAGTTCAGAAGAGGGCTAATTATAGCAATCACTTATTATCAACATGACTAAAACTTTACAGAATGAGTTTTTATATTTTTCAAATAACATGGATCTTTTCATTTTATTAAAATTTGAAATTTGTATATATTTTTATTTCATTAAATGATCTTTCTGCTTTCAAAATTACTATAGAAATCAGTAATGATTACAGAATTACTGAATGTGACCCTCCTTGAGTGACTTATTATTGTAGGCCTGTGCTAGACTAAACTATATTAAATTAATTGTAGTAATTCATAAGTAGAGAGGGTGGGAAAGGCTGCAAAATACCCAAACAATAGACATTGCCACAAACATTTAAACATCATCTAATATAAAAATTATTGAAAATACTTATGGCCGTATCATGTTGAAACATTGGTTCCCATATGATCACTGAATTTAAGCAATGTTGAGCCTTTGGATTGCTTGATTTACAAACAAGACAACCCACTCAACAGTGTGATTTGAATGTACAGTAGAAAAACTTTGTAAGCAGGAGACCCCTGCAAAATGTAAGAGCTGACAAGAGAACTTACTAATTACTCTGGCCGCAGATGAACATTTTAACAAATATCTGGTAAATAGTTACACATGGCAGCCAATGTCAGTAAATAATTGCAGCCTTAAAGCAGTTTATCAAGCCTTTGTAGGTTATTTAAAGCTGAAACATTTTTTGGATTACATGTGAATGTTTTGTGAATGAATATTACAATTTTTTGGATGTAACAATGATTTTTGCCCCTCCAGGTAATGTAACCTATTCCCCTGCGTTGGTCTTCAAGTTTGTTCTGACCACCATGGTTACCATCTAGCTGATCTCTTGTTAACGATGTGGATTCCAGTAGCAGCAATGTGGGGATAACCAGGGTTGAGGTTCGGTTAGCTTCCACCATCTACCTTTTTCTAAAATTCCATATTTTCAAAATATGTTTACTCAAGTGATTTTGCAAATTTAGGGGGTGTCCAGTCCCCTTTTGAGGAATCAAGCTGCCCCTTACTCCAACTCCTCCTTTTCTCATCTTGCACCATCACTCTATATAAGCAGTACTGATCTCTCTTCCTTCTTCCACTTTCTCAGATCTAAACTCAGCCCACTCCAAGGGATGGAACACCATCATTGTGACGAATACAAACTTTCAGAATGTGTAGACAAAAAGGAGATTTCCAGTAATTAATCTTTCTTTATCAGCTTGTCTCATGTTAGTTGGTTTTAGGTGATTTCTCAATTGACCAGGCCACACAGACAACTGCCTATGGTCACTCCAGGACTAGTAATTAATTTTTCTTTATCATTTGTATCCAAAGGAATCCAAATTAATGTTGGATATAAAATTTTGGATGAATGTCACGGAAATCAAAATGAATAAACCTGTCAGGCTAATCTCTATTTTTGTAGGGATATTTTTCTTCTTGGGTGGCCGATTCAAACCAGAGGTTTTTTCTGGTTCTTTGTCCAGAAGAATTATAAATGTTATTTCAGTGACCACCTGAGTTTCCTCATCAACATGTTTTTCTATTTTACATCTTTGAGTATACATTAATGATCTCTTTCCTATCAGCAGGAAGTGGGGGGAAAGATGAGCAGTCTTGGTTTTGCTCAATCTTACTGAATTTTGTGTGGTTAAATTTGGGTTTGATTCTCCTTGAAACTGTTTGTAATTTCATCTATTATTTTGAAACATGATTTTTCAAGGCATTTCATTTTTAATTTTCTTCAACTTTTCAATCCACTTTCCTGTGAATTTCAACAATTATCTTCTTTTTTCTTTTGTTTGATTAAGCCCCTGGGGGAAGAGAAGAGATGAATTCATACTGCTCCTAAATATATTTGTACATAAGTGAATATAACAAACACAACTAGAATTTGAATTTGGCTCTCCAATTTCTCATTTGGAGCCATTATTCATTATACCACCTGCATATCCACCAGAAAGCAGATGAGAAAGTGTTCCCAGAAGGTAGAAAGGCAAAGCAAAAAAAAAAAAAAAATCAAGTAGCATTATTTTGGTTCCTCTTCTTTCCTGTCACCTATATTTTTAAACAACAATTATTCTGTTGTTTAAGTGTTTCCCCTCTGAAACAGAAGTCTGCAACCATCCAATAAGTGATGTAATCTCAGAGAACTCAGCTAACAGCTAAATTATCAATAAGTTCTAACTGCAGATGAGCATCATTTAAGAGGAAGTAGTGCTCTACTTAGAAGTATCTTCAAAATCATCCTAATGATGCTAACAGATACTTCTGACCAGCTTATTATTCAGAACGTGTTTATCAAAATCACATAAAAAAGTACCAAAGTTCCAGCTCTAAGCTACAAGGAGTGAAATCTAATGATGAAGGGGATTGTGAATGTCTCTGGTTGCAATGTGATTATTCTAATAGAAAAGTTATTGTAACACATGTGCATGTATACAAGGACAAACCTGAACAGTTGATATGAAATTTCCTGGGTTCCTGGTCATGTATAAAAATCATGTAGTGAATATGACAGGACCTTGGAGCAGAAGGCAGCTTTAGTGGATAATTTTAAAAATTTTAAAACAACTACGAAAGCTATCCAGGCAGATAGTCACTTCAGTGGGGGAGATTCATCTTGAGCTTACTGGCAGGTGACATAATTTTGATTTTAATGGACTCATGGTGGAAGATTTTAGTGAAAACATTATTGGTGATGTTCCTTTTCACTAATGACATTTATGCTTGACTTGCCATTAAATCATTAAATGCAAACAATGAAGTCCAAAAAGCCAATGATTCTCAAAATTAATGTAGCAAGTGGTGATTGTTGCAAAGCTGCTAACATGAAGGTGTTTTGTTAAATAGTGTTGCTATCTAACCTAAAAATACCTCTTCCACTAGAGTTTGATGAAGAAACATGAGTGGCAGTTAAATCTAGATTGAGCTCACTAATAATAAGCAGATAACTAGTCATGGCAGTCATAAACAGTTCTGAGGATACCATAATTATCAAGCACCATAAGTAGTAACCCTAGTTCCTAGTTTTGAGCTAAGTTCAAACCAGGCCATTTCCTCTCTACAACCAATCTCTAATCATATCAACCAGTACAGAGATGTAAGATTAGTTATAACAACCACATGCATGCATCTATAGATGCTGGTGGAATCCTCTCAGAAAAGTTATACACTGTTTAAAGAGGTTCATAAGGAGTTAAAGGAAGGTTTTCATAGAACTCTGGATTGTTACAATGGAAGATGCAGATCCTTAAAGGTTACAATAAACATGGGATCCATGCTACCTCTACAGAGGAAAGGCCACATGCCTCTTTGAAACAGATCCATGCATGAACAACAGTAGATTTGAAATGAATTAGAAGTAACAGTGCTACTAAAACAAAAAAAAAATGTCAACATTACAGTGGAAAATGTAAATTCTAACTTTTTCTGATTATGAAGCTCTTTTGAAAGAAGCATTCAATTACAGCATTTGGAGTGGTAGATCAGCACGTAAAGTCACAACTAGCATCAAGGCCCAATGTGAACCAATTTTTTTTGTACTAATGGAAACTGGAAGTGAAGACTAACCGTATATATGTATACTGGCAGATGTTTCTGAAAACAATACTGTGACACTGTCACTTGGTACAGAAGTGTTGGGGGTCAAATGCAGAAGCACAATGGGCATACCTGGTATGGAATGCACATTAGAAGTATATGTTGAGTCTTAGATAACTTGCTGTGTGAAGGTAATATGTCTAAAATAGATGTGGAGCAGCATCCCAAGAGATGGTTCTAACAATATGGAAGAATGTACTTTCTAGCTCATTCTCAAATGGGCTCTATTTATTAATTCAAAAGACAGTGTAGTGTCCTGCTACCAATATGTACTGGGGTGGATTTGGTCTCTGGATATTCTGAGTTAACCCTCTTGTCAGATTTAGCAGCAGTTGAAGTTCTTGTCACAGTGGAGCAATTAAGATAATACCTAATGACTTTCAAGTTTCTAAATAGAGTAATTCCTTCACATTGTGATGTTCAGAACCCTCTGGAAAAATCTCATAGCAACAAAAACAAAAAAAATACATATCTGAGAAATGGGCTGATTACCAATTTTCAATATTTTTTCCCCAAAATTGCTGCAAATATTATTACAATCCATAAGCAACCACCTTCAGATAATCATAGATGCCATACAATCAAAGATCAGAATAGCAACAGCATTATATAACATCTGAAATGACAAAACTTATGTTGCAAAATATCTTGGTGCTGAATACTATTCATGACAACAAAATTGTCTTCTTTGTAAATTAGAAGCATTAGTCATATTTGGACTGCTGCTGTACATTTTAGTCAAGAAATAATAGTGATCACCAAATCTAATGCTAATATGCTTCAGAAAGTATCCAAATTTTGTCTGATATTGAGTCAGTCTCAGAATAAAGTAAATAGAATAAATTGTGGAGATTCTGATATTGAAGAAATCATTTGTAGTAAGGAGGAGACAAAATTAATGGTTTATATCAGAAAGAAGAGGTATAATATTGTCTTGTAAGATAAAGATGAAAGCCAGAATACCTCACAAACTATGTGTGGAAATATGATCACACCTCATCTTAAATAAAAACATATCATAGGTGGGACATTATGATATATGGACCTCCACATCCCTAAGAGATGAACTCATCCAGTATATACTAGAAGTTAGAGTCTCACGACAATGTGATTTATATTAACATATAAACATGTTGGGGCATCTTAATATTGTTTGGGTGTCTGCCATCTTGGCCAAGGCATCTTGTTCATATACCTAATAAAAACTATTCAAAGAAATTGTATTTTATTCATTAATTTAAGACTGTGTGAATTTTCAAATAAAGATAAAAAAATCTTACCTGACCAGTAAAACGAGAATTAGGGTGCTGATATTTTCCGCTCTCTTGCCTGCTGGGAGGTCTTAATAAAGATGGTTGAGAGCCATACTGCATACTGTATTTCTCATAGCCAGTGTTGTAACCATTATAGTAATTATTGTAATGACCATATGGATAAGAATAGTAGTCATCATCAACTGAATGATGCCGATATTTGGGCTGACTGGTTAAGTAACGCTTGTCTATAAAATAAAATTTAATAAATAAAAATACTTAGATAAAATCACATACTGATAAAGCAATGGACTATAGCCAAATTAAATAATCTTTTCTAT